GCAGCCGTGGCTCCTGCAGTGGGTGCTTTTCCTCTGAACCAGCGGCCGAGAGCCTGCCCTGCTGGCATGGTGCCGGGAGCTGGCATGGCCCTGGCAAAGCCCGGTGCTGGGCACGGGAAAGTGCCGGGCAGGGAGACCTGAGCAGGGTGTTTCTGCTGCTAATCCGGGCTACTCGCTCCCTTCCCTCCCTCCCAGTTGCAGGAATACTACAAGAAGCAGCAGGAGCAGCTTCACCTGCAGCTATTGACACAGCAGCAAGCCGGAAAGCAGCAACCCAAAGAGGTGAGCTCACGCAGATGGGTTCTGGGCCGTTGGATCTGGCTCCAAATATAAGAGGGACCAGCACAGAGCAAGGTGTTTGTGAATCTCAGCACCCAAGGGAGCTGGCTGGGAGGCAGTGGGGACGAGACATGGGGGCATTCTGCTCCTGGGGTGCTGGGGCGGCTGGTCCGGGTGCTGGGAGTTGTTCCTCCTCCTCCTCCTCCTTATCTGCGATCTGGCACGTGCGCTGAGCTGTCGTTCTCAGTGCCGTGTCCTTGCCGGCGCATCTAGAAACTATGAGGCGGGTGGGGGCTGGAAGCTGCGGCGTTGGCGCCGGACCCTCCCCGGCAGGAGGGACAGGTCGCTGCCCCCGGGACGGAGCGAGGGCTCCCCGAATCCTCCTCACGTTGGGGGGCAGAGGACCCTCAGCTCAGCCCTTGCCTAACACCCTGGCCCTGCCCGGTTTCGGCACGCCTCGGCTCGGGCAGCCTGGTCCTGACTGAGCTGGCACAGCAGCACCCTGGCAAGGGGGCAGGCAGGGCTGGTCAGGTGGGAACCCAAACCAGGGCTTTTCCTGCCAGGAAAGGCAGTTTGGCAAAACCCAAGCACTACTTGAAACAGCAGCGATGCCAGCAAAGGGCTTTTCCTGCAGGAGACGCTCAGGCAGGGGCTGCTGTCAGCCCCCCGCGACCGGGTCAGCATCGGTGGGCGCTTTGCTGGGGAGGTGATTGCCTGGTGGAGAAGTGTTTATGTGGCTCTGATTGCATCAGTCTCGCATAACTCCCTTTCCACCACAAGTTTGCTCTCCTTTCCCATAGTTAGGCGCTCCGAGGCGTCGTGGCTGTACCAGCAATGCTCGGTTTTGGGGATGTGCCGGTCGCACGGAGGCTGGGGGTCGACCCTGACCGGCAGTGGGCACGCAGCACCGCTCCCTTCCTTGTCCCGATGTATTTTTGCCCCTCTCTCTGCCCAGATCGGAGCACACGGTATTGCGTGGGGGTATTTTGCATTCTGGCATCGCTGCCCTCTCTGTTGGGCATCCTTCCTTGGGCTCCCAGCGCAGAGGGACGTGGAGCTGTGCTGCTCGGTCCCCGTCCCCGGCCGAGCATCAGTAGCAGGCAGGGGAAGGTGGTGCTGGGGCTGTTCATTGCAATCCCTGCTCCTAAAATCCATTCTCAGCACAAAAATTCGGCTTTCTTTGGAGGAAGAAAGCGTTTAAGCCCAGACTGCACGTTGGGGTGGCTGCAGCGGGGGTCGATGGCAAAGCACACGCCGGTGCGGGGGGAATAGGGCGGCTCGCGAGCGGCTTGGGGTTGGGCCGGAGCCCACTCGAGCCTTCAGTAGGCTTTGACCCGGGCTTTCATTGTGGGATCTTGGCGTATTTACGCAGCGTGCGCAGGGTCAGGCTTTATCGGAGCCATCTCCAGGAGCTGGAGTAGCTGCTCGTGCTCCGGGAACGGGGGAGGCATAAATCTGAGCTTCCTCAAGGACTTCCCTCTTGGCCGTGGCGATGTTATATTGCAGCAACGGACGGGGATACAATTAAGCTCTAACAAAGGACTTGCTTAGCGGGCTCCTGGTTTAAAAAGCGCATGTTAACTTTTAACTAAATGGTACAGAGGAGAGGAGAAATTTATCCACTAAGAAAGTCTGAGTGGCCAGCGAGGTGGAAGGAGCATGAGGTCCTGCTGGAGGGGTGCAAGTCCAGCTCCTGGCACCATCACCACCCCGTGGCCCCGAAAAACAGCGAGGGGGTCCCCAGGAATGGATACCCCAGTGTTTCCCCTCCCCAAAACCCCCCGGCTGGGCTTTGTGGGGTCAGCTTCGCCCCGCGAATGCGGGCAGCTGCTGTTCCTACCGGCTGCGGTCGG